TAATCGCGGGCTGACCAATAGGGCCCAGCTCCTGAATTTTTTTTTAAGCTTTAGCGACCTTCAATCGCACCAAGGCATCATGGGCAGTGGCTAGTGAGTCTATCTGCCCTACACTGGTTCAGGCCGGACCGCAGCACCGCAGCTTAGCTGGACATCCCCGACAGATCGGATCGGTGCGGGAGCGGCAGACTCCGTGTAGAGGTCCCCGAGCCTCTGCGCGAGCCGTCAGGAGGTCGTGCTGCAGCCGCTGCGACCTTGATCACAACCGCCAGTGATTTCAGCTGGCATCTTTCCCTAAAGTCTGTCGGTGATTTTCTGCAGAATCTGCCTGATACCCATCTGGTACTTTTGTTGTAACTTCTTAAAGGAAAAGGGCCACCTTTAACATGGGGATTGAAACTGAGATAGCCATCTTGTAGCCCGTGTCCGAAAACCTACCTGTATACCTACTTACGGCCGATTTCGGCCTCCATTCGTAGTTATCGGCAATTTTAAAAGAAAATACGCCAGGAATGCGTCCTTATCCCAGGAATGCGTTCTTATCCGACAATACAGCCACCCGCGGCGAGGCTTTGGTTTTTTACCAATCAGCTCCAACCAGCTCAGCTTTAACCAATCAGCTTATCTGACACAATCCGACGAGTCTGTCTTCTGAACGCTGATTGGCTTGAGTGTGACGTCATCGCTATGCCATCATACAGTAGGTGCCGTAGAGAGTATCAACATAGTACCAATCATATACCAATATGTTAAATAGTTTTAAATACTTTTTCGCGAATTGTGCACTTCTGGCACCAGTTTTAAAAAGAAAATGAAAAATAATAATGTCAAAATGAAAAACAACGATATCTTCATATTTCACGAAGGTGGCCCTTTTCCTTTAAGGCCGCCCCACCCTGGACCTCGCATGCGGGTTGCGAGTTTGCAGGTTTTGAGTTTGCGGGCATAATACTAATTCATAGTAATTAGACCGTTCCTTTATGGTAACTTTATGAATGTAGTGAGGCCGGTACACCTTCAGAAAATTACACATAGTCGCAATACCAGCGCAACGAACCAAAATTCGGCTCCAACGAAAAACCCGCAAACCTCGCAGAACTCGCAGACCTCGCAGCGAGGAAAATCGAAAGTTGACTCAAAATCAACTATTGGAATGCGATGCAAGGTCGCTCGCAAGCTAAAAACATGCAGACTCGCCTGTTAGATGGTAGTGTGGGTCACTTAGCTTAGATTGTATGATTTGAACTTGAATAAACCCGAAAACCCAAAAATTCGCAACCCGCATGCGAGTTCCAGTGTTGGGCGGCCTTTAGTAGTTACCTATCTGACTTCCATTGACGCAGCATTGTTTTTTATAGAGTGTACGGGAACATCCAGCCTGTACTCATAACTCGTACACCTGTAGATAGGTAGGTAGGTATTTTTGATGTTCAGATTAGGAATAAGTAGCTATAAAGCACAATTTTGACAGACTTAACCGAACGAGCAAAGAGACCCCTTTCAATGGGTACTTAACCCTCTCCGGCCGAGGGGGGGGGGGGTCGGGTGCCGCACCCCCATAGGGTTTTTTTCGCGATAGCTCCGAACACGCTGGCGATAGAGAGCTGAAACCTGGCATACCTCACTTTTGATTCAAGCCGGATCTTTTGACACCAACCGCATTTTCGGGTCAGGTCAGGTCACTGACCTATGACGTCATAAGTGAACCTCTGCACGGTCTTCAGATGTCGCAACTTCGCAACGCCCTCACTGCCAGAGGTGATGTCACAGGGAAATGAAACTTGCAGGATCTAGTATCCATTATGAGTCTCACAGCTTGTATATCTCGGATTTTTTCTAAAGGTCATATGAGGTCAGGTCATTTTCGTGACCTCACCATTATAAGTCAATGGGGAAAAATGAAAACTGCTATTCTGGCGCAGGGAACGATCTCCAACTATCTCAAGCATACAGAATCGTGATTTGATGCACTCCTTGCAAGGTTAGATGCGTCACTTTTGCAATGTTGACCTTGCGTAACGTCATTTATGACGTCATCAAGGTCATATTAGTTTTTCGTCAATAACTCTTGATCAAATTAAGCTAGCGAGTCGGAAAAGCCACCAATGGACTTAGGAAGACCTGCCGAATCGAATAATATGCGACATGACCTCTTTCGACCAACTTCGTGACCTGGGGGTGCTGACCTGACCTTGACCTGAGGTCAACACCCTAAGCTGACCTGACCCGGACAAAAAGTATATCATTCGACGCGTCTGAGCGAGGCGAACACGATGCTGCCAAAATCGCGGCTCTGCGGCCGTTTTTTGTGAAGTTATTCACCAAAAACTGAACCGTACCCTGGGGCACTTGACCTGACCTCAGAGGTCACCGGTTGACCTAGGACCTTAAAATCGGGTACCAATCTCTGCGTCTCGTAACGGCGCACACGCTCGTTTTTTTCCGCGACTCGCTAGCTCTACCAGGGGCGAAACGGCGAGGGGGGTCGTTCCCCCCTCCCCCTCGGCCGGCGCATATGTAGAAAACCAATAGGTCCGGCGAGGGTTAATATTTGACCTGCGCTTGAGCAGCTATTATTAGTAAGAACGTCTTTTCCTCACAAGTTGTTGAAAATTTCAGACCCACCCAGGTCATTTGAGGTCAGGCCATCAGGTCGCGCCAAAGACCTAACCTAAAAAATAAAACATGCAAATCAGCCGCGCCGCCCTGGCGAGCGGATCACCTCGGCTGCATCGGCTAAGCGCTTTGCTTTGAAACGTTCAGCGATTGATAAGGATGACAGGGTCAAAGTTGATGAGCAAGTCTTAGTCGTTTGTCTCGGTTTTTCGAATCCGGTGAACAAAGGCCAGAGACCAGTTTTCGATCAATCCAGAAAAATGCTAGCCACCCGTAATTCTATTTCTTCAATTCTGAAATATCCCGCAAATAGTACATACATAGGTAATACTCCTCCACGTGAAAAAAACGGTAATGTGAACTTCGAAAACATTCTGACTGTCAGGCACGCTGATATCACATTTCACTGCAGCAATTACTTTTTGCGCTTCTGGCGGTATTCGGGGAGTCTAAACTCTTTAAAACCAGTATAACGCCTTTTGGGGCGACTAACGGAGCGAGCGAGAGGGTGAGCCTTGCACGTGCGAAATTTCGAGGGGGTACCTCCAGCTGACTTGTGCACGGCACCCTACTAACCGGTCTCTAGCGATGTGCCAAATTTGAGCACAATCGGCCCAGCCGTTCTCGAGATCTGGAAACGGCATCCTGCACGTGCGCACGTGCAAAATGGGTCCCAACTGACTTTTGCACGGCACCCTACTAACCGGTCCCTAACCATGTACCAAATTTGAGCGCCATCGGTCCAGCCGTTCTCGAGATATGGAAACGACCCCTGCACGTGCGCACGTGCAGCAGCGCCCCAACTCTGGCACATGGATATGCAGTGCCTAGTGGGTGCCTACCTACATGCCAACTTTCAGCGCCATCGGTCAAGTAGTTACCGAGATATTGCAGCAATTACAAAACGGACACCTCTTCGTTTTGCACGTGGCACGTGCATAAGGGGTCACCCACATGCATCGGGAATAGTCCAATACTTGGTAGAAGGAATGAAGCTACCCTACAAAAATTACCCCGTGTAAATCGGTCGAGTGGTTGCTGAGATATAAGCCTCGCAAAAGCGTGACCACGGCCGGCCGCTCATACTCAGAAATTTCCGTTAATCTAAGAAAAGACTACGCTCGCTTCGCTCGCTCCGTAAAAAAAACCGGTCGGCGATTTTTTTTTCGGTAAAGCGGACAAAACTGGCTTTAGGGCCGTTTTGCAACCATTGAAGGTCAATCAGAGAAAGTTGAAGCTTCTTTTCAATGGAAGTCATACTTTAAGTATGAAAAAAATGTGCTACAGATAAATCAATTGAATACTTAATCGGAATTTTGCGACCGTGACCCCAGCCCACCCTAAAAGACCCCTGGGGCCATCTTTTCTGGGGTCATGAAAGATAACCGGCAGCTTTTCGACAATACGCTGTACATATTAGAGATATGCTAGAGCGGTGAAAACACTTTGGATGTGTCGATTTAGTCATTCAGCCGATCTAGTGTTGACACATGACATCTCAGTCTCACATAAATCACTAACTGCCTTGCTGTTTTTGTCACCCTGCATCTTACCCTATGCATTTGTGTTCGGGTCAAAAATTTGCTGACCTCACCACCATTATAAGTCAATGGGGAAAAATGAAAGCTGCTATTCTGGCGCCGGGAACGATCTCCAACTATCTCAAGCATACAGAATCGTGATTTGATGCACTTCTTGCATCAAATCACGATTGATGCGTCACTTTTGCAATGTTGACCTTGCGTGACGTCATTTATGACGTCATCAAGGTCATATTAGTTTTTCGTCAATAACTCCCGATCAAATTGAGCTAGCGAGTCGGGAAAGCCAGGAATGGACTCAGGAAGACCTGCCGAATCGAATGATATGCGACATGACCTCTTTCGACCAACTTCGTGACCTGGGGCGCTGACCTGACCGTGATCTGAGGTCAACACCCTAAGTTGACCTGACCCAAACAAAAAGTATATCATTCGACGCGCCTGAGCGAGGGGAACACGATGATGCCCAAATCGCGGCTCTGCGGCCGTTTTTGCGAAGTTATTCACCAAAAACTGAACTATACCTACCTTGGGGCACTTGACCTGACCTCATAGGTCACCGGTTGACCTAGGACCTTAAAATCGGGTACCAATCTCTGCGTCTCGTAGCGGCGCACACGCTCGTTTTTTCGCGACGCGCTAACTCCACCAGGGCCGGGGCGAAATGGCGAGGGGGGTCGTACCCACCCACCCCCCCGGCCGGCGCGTATGTAGAAAACCAATAGGTCCGGCGAGGGTTAAATCGTTGCGCATCGTGGAGGCACCTACTCGTATAGTGTATACCGATTTTCAGCCAAATCGAAAGACCCCGCCGTTTCCCGTCAAAATGTTAATAGTGTGGAGAAGGAAATCATGGCCTCCCACTCCCGATGGAGGCCCCAAATGTCGGACCCCTATTTTTTGTATTTGTCTGGGTGTCTGGGGCGCATAGCGACACGGGACCGCCGGCTGGCTGGCCGGCTGCCCGTCCGGTCACGTGCTTGCGTCCCGACACCCACCATAAAACCTATGTTCTCTAAATACACGCTCTCACTCCTCCTCTACCGACTGTGACGCCAACACCATCCGCGGACCCCGGCTCCGACGAGGGCGGCCGAAATGGCCGGCCCACAATTGGTGCCAGCGGTGGTGGTTGGTTGTCGGTGGAGGACTTTTGGCTTCAGGTGAGTTCTCTTTTAAATTAATTTTATTTGCTATTTGTAATGTTTGAAATTTGATATTTGAGATTTGATATTTAGTTCCATTCGTTTATCTACATGTGATTTTTTATTATTTGCTAGGCTTACCATGGAAGATGCTACCAGAAATTTTAGTATTGAGTACAGCACCCAAATGAAAGATATTTTAAGGCGAATTGCTCATTTAGAATTAGCTGTAGCAGAAGAGCTTATTGCTCAACAAGATCAAAATCTATCAAAATCTCAGAGCCGAGGACGTGATCGTCAATCTCGTCAGCAAAAATGCCGTTATCGACCTGTTCGCTCAAAATCACTCCACTCTTCGCGTCATTGCTGTCAAGAAAGAAGTCATTGCTGTTCAAATTCTTATCACCATGAATTTTCTAGCTCTCACCGAAACTTTTCACCGCGTCGAAACTGTCGTTCTCTGAGCCCAAACGGGTTCCGCTCACTGCACTAGGGGATGAGTGCGTGAGCGTCGCTTCAGATGACAGGGACCGTTCAGCACATCCCCCGGTTTTACGTGACGTCAAAATTTCGGGTCAAACTTGTTCAGCTCTTTATGATAGTGGAAGTAGTGTCTCTTTAGTTTCAGAAAAATGTGTGCAAAAATCTGGCTTAAAAATACCTTACCAACCTCCCAGTGTCTCTATTCTTGATGTTACTGGAAACCCTATTGACGTTGTAGGTGAAGTCAATCTGAACATTAGCATTCTTGGTCAAACAGTTCAACACAAATTTTTCATTACAGCAAAAAGTTTGCCATTCAAATGCGATATCATTCTCGGAATCGATTTTATCATTGCTCACAAATTGATTTACAATCCATCGAGTCGTACGGTGAACTTTCTAAAACCAATTCTTTCTTCCAATGTAGTCGAAAGACGCTCAAAACGTCTGAGTCCCAAAAGACGTAAAAGAGTACGTTTTCTTTTATCAACAAAGGACAACGAAAAATGTGTCGATCAAATCGTTTATCCTGATAAAACGGTAGACATGTTCACAACTGCAGAAAAACATGCATTAACTATTGATGACGAAAAGTCATATCCATTATTCGTGAAACAAACAGTAGAAATTTCTGGTTACAGCGAAAAATTTGTACGCGTAAAATTACCACATTTTCTACAACCAAATGATTTTCCATACCTAATTCAAACGCATTGTGATCAAAGTATTCGAGACATTCAAGTTGCCCGTTCTATAAATTTCTTGGAAAATTCAGGCACGCTTGTACGCGTGATTAATGCTTCAAGTAGCCCAGTCATTTTGAGAAAAAATCAGAGAATCGCACAAGCCCATCCGACCAAAAAGTACCCCTTCAGTCAGGTCACAGACCGACCCCATCCCACCAGACAGAACGCTGACCTTGCTCAGTACCATGGGTCAGTCAGTGCCAACTGTCAAACAGCGCCGTCTGTTCCCAATTCCGCCAGCGTCTCGCCACAACAAAAAACGGTCGCTGGGCCGGATTTGGCTGCGTCAGACAGCGGACGCATGACAGACGTAAACAGACCGACGACTTCTATCCCGAGGACGTCAGGGCACAGGTCTGTCAGTGACATTGATTTGAAACACATCCCAGTACACTTTCGTTTTAAACTCCGTGAACTCTTAGACAAACATCGACATGTCTTTGGAAATGATATTTCTGACATACAACAGACAGATGTTTACAAAAATCACAATGGATTCACAGACCACACTCCGGCTGATCAACGAACAAGTCTCCCATTTGCTCATCGGGAGATAACTAAGGAAAATATTAAACGCATGGTAACAGCCAGAGTTATCAAACCATTAGTTTCACCATATAACTCTCCAATCATTCTTATCAAGAAATCAAATGGTCAATATCGCCTCGTTTCAGATTTGCGACTTCTCAACTCCAAAATCAAGGATGACAAGTTTTCTCGTTCATTTACATCACAGGTCAAAGATCAACTTTCTGACTGTGAAGTTTTCTCTACCTTGGATTTCCCTAGTACATTCCACCAAATTTCTTTGAATGAATCTTCAAATCATTCTACGGATTTTGCAAATCATGACGACAAATATCATATGAACGATAAACCAATGGGTCTTCGTTCAAGTTCCTCCGTTCTCAACAGAGGGTTGCAAATTGCACTCAGTAGTCTTCAAGGCATAGATGCATTTCTATATGTTGACAATATTCTTATCGGTAGCAAAACATACGACGAGCATTTAGAAAAACTCGACAATATATGTTCTCGTTTAGAAGAAATTCATCTTGTGATCAACCCCGCAAAGTGTGAATTTATGAAATCTCAGGTAAAGTATCTGGGTTTCATACTTGACAAACATGGAATTCGTCCAGATGCATCCAAATTACAAGCGGTACAAGATTTTCCTGTACCAGAAACAGCGAAAGATGTTCGTATTTTTCTTCGGTTTGCGAACTATTATCGCAGACACATTCCAAAACTGGCTGAGCTTACTGCTCCGTTAATTCATTTGACAAAGAAAAATGTTGATTTTATTTGGTCAAAAGAGTGCGAAAAAGCATTCTCATCGATAAAAAGGTCAGTACGAAAATGCGCTTTATTAAAATTTCCAAATTTCGGAAAAGACTTCTACCTATTTACACATACAAGTGATTTCGCCATTAGTGGCGTACTTGAACAAAAATATGGTGATGAATTTCACCCAATCGCTTTTATTAGTCGACAGCTTAGCAAAGCTGAAAGAAATTATTCTACTTCAGAAAAGAAATGCCTCGCAATTTCATGGTCTTTTGATCATTTGCGATCTTATCTTTTAGGTCATGTCACTCATGTCATGACAGATCATTCACCATTAAAATGTATCTTAAAGTCAACTCATCTTAGCGGTCGTTTAAAGAAATGGTTTGTAAAACTATCAGAGTATGATTTTGATGTCACTTATCTACCAGGTATTTTGAATGTTACAACTGACCATTCGTCTAGTGCCGAATTAGATACACAAAACAAAGCAGACTTTCTTGGCCATGTCTCTGCAGAAACCGCAGGATGGACAAAAGAGAAAATCAAAGCTGAACAGCGAAAAGACCCAGATTTGATGCCAATCATTGATCGCCTCGTGAAACCGAAAGCTAAAGGCCCTGATCTGAAGCTGAATGAATCTCTTTCCAACTTTTTCTTAGGTTCAGATGGCTTACTTTACCATGTAGCCAAACAACATTCGAAGATTCGTCAGTTTATGAAACAACTTGTAGTTCCAAATTCAAGGAAAAAACTGATGCTTGAGAAAGTCCATGACACTTTTTCGTCAGGACAAAAGTTATTCAGAAACATTCTTTCCAAAATTCGCATTCAATTTTACTGGAGGAACATATACTCCGATGTCAAAAGGTATGTAGACTCCTGTCGTTTTCACATGAACCAAAGTGCTCACAGATTTTGGAAACGTGCACCAAGGCAGTGCACAAGTACAAAAGAGCACCCTAACATCGATCGTCTTCAAAACTTGGAAGACGATCAAATCGACACCTGCGTCGATTCACAGTCTCTCAGCAACGAATCTGCCATTCGTTCCGTGGGTAATGCCTTACAGAGCAGCAACAACGGTGCACGTTCACCTGTTACACTGCCGGCAAAGCCAGGGACGTTGGTGACTCCTTCTGAAGAGAATGGGATCGACCAGAGTGATCTTACACGGCTGGAGGAAGATTGGCGAAATTGTCGAGCAGGCCGAGAGGTTAGTCAGGCTGATCACCTGCGGTATAACCTCTGGTCTCGCAAAAACATACGCCCCCCAGGCCGTCAAGAAGGAACATAGCGCTCACATAGCGCCCATTTAGCGCTCAAATATATTATTTGCCTGCAGAAGACATGCTGCGTTACAATGAGGTTGACGAGGTCCCTCCCGCGCATGTAAATAGCCGACGTACGGCCAAAAATGGTGACAGAGATCCCATTTCACGTGATGCGAACGAAGGTTGATGATTACGTCCCTCGCGCACACCGCCAGCCAAAGGCTGAGCAAAAAGGTTTACTCAATGTAAACAGAAGAGAGCAATTGCAATTTCATTGAGCTCAATTCATTGTAAATAAAGCATCCACGATATAGATATATATGCTAGTATGATAGGTGAATGATTCTCATTTGTATGATTGCCAAAACCTATGTTGTCGCTTGCTGTTGCCATCTTTCATTTCTTTACATATGTTGCAATGTCAAAAATGTCTTGATACTGACACATTAGCCCTGTTTCTTTTTCAGGTTCGTGCTTCTTGTGGCGGAACGAGTGCAGCGTCAAATAATACCCAAAGGACATGCATGCTTCTCGATATTCCCAATTAATTAACAGTATACTTTATCGAACTAACTACTGATTAGCTTTAATTTTGGTCATCTGGTGAACAAAAAACGACTCCTATAACATTGACCAATAACGTTTGGCCATTCTGAACAATTTACACCAGCGAAAGTAATAAGTGGCAATAAAAAAATTGTCCACAGAAAGTTTGCCAATTCAACAATTTACAGCGATATAACTACATTAGAAGTATTGCTGTTTGCATGCCTTCCCAAACGATTTCACGGGTATGACGTGATACACAGATGCACTCGTTCAGAAGACGCCACTCTTTAAAAGGACTTCTTTTTTTTTCAACCGTATATTTTTTTTATTAAATAACAAGTAAGTTCTAAAAATAGTTAGATATTCCAATAACACTTTAACCCACTAAAAACATTGGCCTCTTCAATTTATTCGTTAAAGTAAGTCACTTGGGAGTACTATTAAAACCGGTCTTTTGCTAGTCATTGGCTCATTAGCCCCATTTTTTTCTCCTTACTACTCACTTTGCGACGTAAACGATCTCTCGATCGACTGACCGGCGGTACTGCCCGTTTTTAACAATCATTCAATGTTTTGCTACCCGCTGTGTCAAAAACATGTCTTCTGTGTCATTTATATAATGATGTCTTCCAATGAATGTTCAGCCTTCACAAAGTTCATACTGCCGTTTTATCACACAATTGTTATCACACATCAGGGAAAATGTATCACTGACCGGCACAGCGATAGCACAACATTGTAATAAAAAGTGTATGTGGATGCATGTTTGAATACTTGGACACGGAAACAAATTCGAATGTCCTACGGACCCGAATGTTTTGGCCTTTGAAAGTCCATGGGTTCCGTGGCACGCCTGGGGAAGCATTACGACACTTGTGTCGCCCAGTGCTACGTGCCTTTTGTACAAATGTTGTACTGTACAGCTGTAAATATGAATGACTGTTTTGTATGATGTATATGTTGGGGCATTGTTTCGGCACATTTTAATTCGGTTCTTTTTCTATTACAGTCCTTGAGTTTCTGTTACCCATCTGGGAGTGGCCACTATCTGACTCCCCGAGCATCGACTACGGAGAAACGCCGATACGCATCACGGTCTGCAAAAGCTGGCTGATGATAGACATGATGGGGTCGGAAGCTCATCGCCGATCCGTCTGGCTGTCTCAGTCGCTCTGCATCTGGTCCACGAATCACACACTGCAACTGCGGACGCCATCACCGACTGCAACGGCTGCAACTGCAACCAGCAGGTGGCCTAGGTCCAAAGCCAACGCCTGGCTGACCCACATGGCCGCCTGCCGTCGCTGCTACCTCATCTGCTCATCGTGCTTCGCTGTTCTCCGTCCGTTCGTCCGTCACTCTCGTCGCCCGTGCCAGCCGCCATCAACATGGCTGAGCGCACTATCGCCGCCATCAAGGCGCTGTCGATCAAAGGGGTCACCAACACCCTCGCCAGTTCCACCAGCTTCCGGTACGCTGACGTCTCCGGTATCGGTGCTGTGCGGCGGCAGCCAACGCTCCGTTGACAGGTGTGGCCACACTGTCACGGCGCACCCTGGCCGCTGCCCCTCACGATCAACTCGGACATCATCTACCCGCAGAGGTGCCTGGCGCATAACATCGACAACGACAAAACATGGCGACAACGATAACGACGACGACTAGCGATGACGACAAAACCGAATCGGAGAGCAGCGACAACAGCAGCAGCAGTAGTAGCAACAACAGGCGTACCAGTACCAGTAGCAGCAGCAGCCGTACCTGCAGCAGCAGCAGCAGTCGTACCTGGCTTTCCATGCGCGGTGTCATACGTGGATCTATGCAGTTAGGGTCGTGATTGCTTATTGGTCGCCTCCTCTTGTCAGCTTGTTGGGGGAGGAAAGATATGTGGAGAAGGAAATCATGGCCTCCCACTCCCGATGGAGGCCCCAAATGTCGGACCCCTATTTTTTGTATTTGTCTGGGTGTCTGGGGCGCATAGCGACACGGGACCGCCGGCTGGCTGGCCGGCTGCCCGTCCGGTCACGTGCTTGCGTCCCGACACCCACCATAAAACCTATGTTCTCTAAATACACGCTCTCACTCCTCCTCTACCGACTGTGACGCCAACACCATCCGCGGACCCCGGCTCCGACGAGGGCGGCCGAAATGGCCGGCCCACAATAGGCCGTTGGCGTTAACTCGTTAACAGTACAAAATACCACCTCTAAGGAGTACATTTTCGAAATCAGCACATCGAGGACTGGAGGCCCTGTAATCTGTATGCATACCGATTTTCAGCCTAATCGAAAGACCCCGCCGTTTCCCGTTAAAACGTTAATTGGCCGTAAACAGGGCTGGAAAAAGTGTTTCGGTGGTTGTCGTCCAAAGGAAAACGGGCTTATTTGGTTGTCAACTCGAGATGTCTAACCCGCGCCCCGCTGAGGGTCCTTGATTTCCACGCCCTGCTCGGGAGGGGGGGGGGGGGTCAAACACCCCGCCCCGGTCACGTAGTGACAAGCAGTAAACGGCATTCGAAAGAACGTCCAAAATAAAAGCGAAAATATGACATTCGTTTTATAGGCTAAGTCAAAGGTCAGGTCACCAGAGGTCATTAAATGAAAGATATTGCCTTCCAATATTTCTTTTTAACACCGGCGCACAACTCGGGAACCAATTATGTAGAGCTGTAGGTACAGCGCCGCGGAAAAGATTAGATAGCCCTTTTGACCCTTTCGGTGACCCTTCGACGGTGCCACTGGTCGACTTCCACTCACCTTTGAACAAAACGTGCTCAAGTTGGTACACTTCAGTCGTGCAGACGCCACGGACCCTGCATGCGAATATATTATAATTCCGCTCCTTTTTGATAGCGCAGGGCGCTCAGCCGTCAGGCTCAATTGTCCGACGGTCCGTGTTCCTCGACCTCGGAAGTCCTGAGCCACCATATCCTCGTGGGTATGACATGGCGTGCCCTCCCCTCGGCCTCATCAAAACATCACCGGCACTGACACGGTCCCACTCAAGATGTCCCGCCGCGGACCTACCCCCAGGCGCCACCGGGGTGGGTTTTGACGTCACAAAAGGAGCCCCGGCGGATTGGAGGGGACGCTAACTGGCCGCCGCGCCGGCCGGGGGCGGCGCTGAAGGGTGCGGGCAGGGGCCGGCCGAGTCCTGGAATGTACTAGATTTGCCAGACACGTGTTGCCAGCGGACAACCACGGCGACCACTTGGTATGCCATTGGTCGTCTTTATGAGGGTCGCCGATCGGCCGTCCGAACGATGGTCGAACGACGCAGTATATGCTAAATAGCTACGGGGAGTTGGAATATGTCTGTAGCTACCAAGAAATTTTCCACTGGGATACCGCCGCGTACGGGAGGTAACGGACTCGAACTGCGAGGCGATGTGATGGGGAGGGGTGCGTATTATTTAGGCCAGGGTTCATAATGTCCAGGGCACAATGTGCCCAGTGCTCGAATTGGCCAGTGCCTTGAATTGGCCAGTGTTCACATTGTCCAGGGATTACATGGTCCAAAAGTGGCCAACTGGCTGCAGCTGGGTAAATTCAAAGAGGCCAGGGTTCATAATGTCCAGGGCACGATGTGTCCAGTGTTCAAAATGGCCAGGGTTCATAATGTCCAGGGCACGATGTGTCCAGTGTTCGAAATGGCCAGGGTTCATAATGTCCAGGGCACGATGTGTCCAGTGTTCAAAATGGCCAGTGCCTTGAATGGGCCAGAGTTCATAGTGTCCAGGGATTACATAGTCAACCCAACCCAACCAAACCTAACCTAACCTAACCTAACCTAACCTAACCTAACCTAACCTAACCTAAGCTAACCTAAGGTAATGATGTTTGCCTACCAGGGATAAGGAAATAGTGTCTCGCATGAATAGATTGCAAGCAATAGTAAATCAAATATTTTTAGGTTAAGTGGTTATGCATCAGGCTTCAGGCCTTCGGCCTGAAGCCAGATACATAACCACTTAACCTAAAAATATTTGATTTACTATTGCCTGTAATCTCTCCTAAGGCATTGCCTTCGGCACTGCACTGCTTTGCATTGAGCTGATTCCGTGTTTTTTACATAATGACGTCACTTTCAGTGACTATGTAATCCCTGGACATTATGAACTCTGGCCCATTCAAGGCACTGGCCATTTTGAACACTGGACACATCGTGCCCTGGACATTATGAACCCTGGCCATTTCCAATACTGGACACATCGTGCCCTGGACATTATGAACCCTGGCCATTTTGAACACTGGACACATCGTGCCCTGGACATTATGAACCCTGGCCTCTTTGAATATACCCTATCTGCAGCCAGTTGGCCACATTTGGACCATGCAATCCCTGGACATTATGAACTCTGGCCCATTCAAGGCACTGGCCATTTTGACACTGGGCATAGCGTGCCCTGGACATTATGAACCCTGGCCAGAATGAATGCTCCCCATGGGGAGGGACAGAGAATGGTTTGCCGTGGGCAGAGTTGATTGGGTTGCTTGGGCAGAGGCGGATGGATTGTGCGCTTCTAACCGCACTAAGCGGAAGGAGTTAATCAGTTCAGGCGCTGCGCGTGGTCGCCATAAGATCGTCTTCTCGGTTGTCGTCGACAACGAGAAAACGATACAATTTTTCACCCCTGGCCGTAAACTTGTTAACGGTGCAAAATACCCCCGCCCCCCAAAAATGGACATTTTCGGAATCAGCGCATCGAGGAGGCTCTGTATGCCAATTTTGAGCTAAATTGAACAAGGGCGGCGCCACCGTGGGGGCAGTGGGGGCACACTGCCCCCACTGGCAGGAGGCCGTGGGGGCAAGACTATGTTTTTGCCCCCACAAAATTTGGCTGATGTTGAAATGGAAACAGAAGACCGGTGCAACATTCATGATAGGCGGTTATACCTAATAGCACGCCTGTTTTTGACGGTCCCCGTATCAAGTATATCAGCAGAACGTTCGTTCTCGGACCGTCTGTCGCATATCTCCTACTCCCACTCATTCTCCTACTCATTTTCATTCACCAGGATGCTGCCCTCGAGCTTGACCTCGAGGAGGTTGAGAGGCAGGTTGTCAAAATCGGCCAGAGAAGAGATCACCCTCTTTTAGGAACCCTTAGACTGAGACTGAGCTCACATAGGTATGGCAAAATGTGATAGATATGTGTGTCCGAGTTATCTGGAAATGTATTGGATCGCCCTAATTGAGCTTATTCTGGCATATCAATCGTGTGCGAGAGAATCGCACATATAGGTACGCACTACGGGAAAAAGAGAACTAGGTACTGATTATTGTTTTGAGAAATACACCATTTTACATCTCAACGAACAACATAACGTTTTCACAGGTTTGTGTCTCGCAATCTAATTTTATAGTTTTATTTGCTCGCGACCTTAGCCCGCCCGGGCCCGGGGGTAATCCCAACCATCGCAGCCCGGGGGTACCCCCCCCCTTGTCTAACTCCGTAAATAAGGCAGCTACGGAAACAAAAATGGTACCAAACGAAAGGTATCTACGCGAAGATTCTAAAGCAGCTAAAATTTTTGACCTCAGGTCAGTTTTCAAGGTTAAAAGTCAAGGTCAAAGGCAAAAACCGGCACTTTTGTAGTGGTCTCAAAGTGCGTGTTCCAGGGGACGGCATGGTGCATAAGACCGGCTAAAATGGATTTTAAATGAAAGACGAGAGTCTGAGGATTCCGATGATGTGCATAACATTCAAATTCAAGGTCATGGTCATGATCAAAATTGACCACAAACTTTGCACTTTTTCTTATATCTTGTATACTAAATTCCGAGATGTTTTGAAATGTTTTGAAGCTTAGCGGGCCCCTATTTGTGCTTTAGCTTACCATACAATGCTGCTACAAGGTCAAAGTCACAAGAGATCCTTGCTAGACTAGGCTATTTCACTTATTCAAGTCAGGAATACCTCATAATTAGACATGTTTTGCCATCCTATCCTGAGGCTCTAAATTAATGCTTAGAGCAAAATGAATGCCATAATCGTGATCAGCGGCTACTAAATCATCACAAACGACCTTTTATGTGTCAAAGGTCATTCGAGGTCACATGAGGTCAACATAAAACTTGACCTTTTCCAAACAATATACATGTCATTCGACATGTCTCGACGAGACGAATGCGAAAGTACCGCTGCCGTAGCTCTAGGACCATTTTTGTTGAAGTTATTTGCGAAAAAAATTTAAGCCCCAGCTTAAGGTCGTTGACCTGACCTCTGACCTCAGGTCACCAAAGTTACTTAAGTATTTTTTCCTAGGTCAAATGCTACACAACCGTGCTCGTAATTTGTCTTATCTCTAAAACTCTATTTTTGGCAGCTGGTGGAAGTTCACGTCTGTGACACCGAAGTTTGCCGTGCAGGAGTTTTGAAAAATCGGCCCTGAGATGTTATCAAGAAGGCTAGGTCCTTTTTTATCAGCATTTCTAACAGCAAGTTTCCTCTTTCTATCCCTAAGCGTTCATGAGGTATCGCAAATATTCGCCTAAGGGGAGGCGAAAAACGCCCCCCGCCCCCTTCCGGGCCCTCGAGGGTTAGTGGTTAAGCTCAATACGTACACTGTAAAAAATGATAGCACGTTTTGTGTTATATGGACAAAAACGACTCGGTACAGCCGTATCTCATAACACGCCACCGTGTTTTCTCATACACGGTAAATCCGTGCTACATAACTCGGTATGAGTTTTGACTTTCCAAAAAGTGGTATTCCGTAACTCGATAAAGACGTGTTACCGAGTTCGATAACTCGCCAACATGTTTCTAGCGTATCGAATAACGTGTAAAATAGCTCGCATTAAAGATGTTAAGTGTCCAATAACACCACTGGTGTTTCTGGGCTCGGATAATTATCGGCTACATAAACTTATTTGTGTTAACATATCCGGAAATTAGATGTTAGTAAACTCGCCATAAACGTGTAACGTGTTTCGTAGCTCGGTTCGTGTTCATATACTTCCCGTCCAGTACCTCCTTTTAGAATGTATATTAACGCCAAATGAGCTGCATTACACGATTCAATGATCACGTTGAATGAATATATGAATATATAATTCATGTGGACTTATTGCGATGAAAGGCGTACCTTCTTTGATGCAAACGGGGCTGTAACAGGCCCAGCCGCGTTTAAACAGAGGTAACGTCTTCAACCGCAATAAATCGACATGAAGTATACATTTATACAACTCATTCCACATAATTATTGAGGCGTGTAACACAGTTCGTTTTGCTTTAACACACATCCTCGTTAGCCAAGTTCATTAAGTCTCAGAGTACAGATCTACTCATTATATATTTCAACAGATTGTTCACAGTAAACAATACACATGCGCTCTGAGCCTCATCAGAAGTAACACCACGGCTTTATATGGTACAACGTTTCTTTGAGCATGATTGTAATCAATAAAAATGGTAATATTGACCTTGTGCTCATAATATCATAATATCATAATATTTCATTGATTAACACCACGGCGGACGAGCAGTGGACAGTGGTCCTCCGCGATCAGCAACACTAGTATTGTGAAAGACACCTATGAACAACACGTCTTTGGGCCTGGCGATGGGAGAGTAGAGGTGCCGTTTCACATGCATTCACTGGCGCGGTCTTCAGCTTGTCGAGCCGATCGTCGCAACGATTTTTTTAACGACTTTCCGGTCGACATTTGGGAGAGCTATTGCGTCAATACTAGCTGGGAGTTCTGACCGCTGGGGCATTGAATTTTCTCATTGAACACGGGGAACATTGCCGCACAAACTAGGAGGCGCACACTCAGAGGCGTGTTGTCTTCGGAGATGGCAGCCTCGCTCCCCTCCACCCATGACACTATAGCGGTACGAGAGGAAATTCTAAAAAGCGTCCAACTTCTGGTTCGTGTCTGAAATAAGAAAAAAAATCATGTCAGTAAATGACGAAGTGCATGAATGAACGGCATAATGATACATACTCTAAGCTTCGCACGGTGGGGGGTCGGGGGGGGGGAGCGTTGGCCACAGCTGCCAGTTTTTTGCGAGTGTAAAAAAATCGGCGAGCAGCGCTGCGAAACTTGGTTTAGCTTATAATACATCAATTTCACATCGTGAGTAATATTTTCGATCCCGGGTCACATAAGGTCAGGTCACAGTCCAAGTTAAGTGATCATGCCTCTTTAAACTTTGTGATTCAGTCATTTCTAAAGTATATTCGTACATCCCAGAAGTTTGAAACTCATGCTATTGCATGAGCTTGTCAGTATGAACAATTTGCATTTCTCGGAATTTTGATATCTGCGACGTAAGGTCAGGTCGATTTTGTGACCCCTCTATTGACTTTTAGTCAATGGAAGAACATTTAAATCCGCTTCTTTTGGCCGTAAATACCCTCAAACATCGGGACACAGATGAACATGGCACAATGAACCGGAAAATTGCACCTGTGACCCCCTTTAATGCCTCTGAGGTCATTTCAGGTCACGAAACGTTTCAAATAGTTTCTGAAAACACCAGGAATGTGTTCAGCTTAAAGGGACCCTCCCACCTTAACATTAGATTTGAGTTGAGATAGCCAAAATGGGGTCCCTGGCTCACAATTACCGGTTTCGGCACTCACAACATCGAGAAATGCCTTAAATCGGAAATATTGAATTTCAAAATTGCAGCATTTTGATTCAGAGGGGCTAATGCTGAGGAATACCCCTCTGAATGTGTGACGTCAGCGCAGATATCTAACGATTTTTAAATGTTGACTAAAACGTTTTGTAGCACGCGGTGGTAGGGGAGACCCGGGAGGTATGGGCCGGTTTTGTGAAAAGGCAATTTTCTTCCAGTGAGCAGTGGCTAAACCCGGTTTTTCACTCTGTGCACGTGAAATTGCCTTTCGCCTGCAAAGTGTGCCTGATATTAGACATCTGGGATCAGCTATTTTGTCTTGAGATAACTTTAAATAAATAATGCGCTTTTTTGATCTATCAAAATACACCGGGAGGTATGGGCCATGGCTCGGGAGGTAGGTATGGGCCGGTGCCATGTTTCATATTCTTTTCTCGACAATGAGAACAATACTCGTAGCTGGTATCTACCTTGATCTCTCTTAGAGCCCAGGAACCGCATAAGCGGCCAACAGCTTATTTCATGGAGGTCACTTGGGCACATATGTATTTTGGTAAACTCAATCATGCACCATGAAATGAAATAAATAATATTTTTCGGTTCGAATGAAATTTGAAGTTAAATTTTCAACCTTGCGCGACAAAAATAAAACTTATTGAAGATGACACTCATTGAAAGCATCTTTTTATTGATTTAAGATCAACGGGGGTGGGTGGCCCGAAACTCCCGGTTATGACGCCAGAATTTGCGTAGCATCTCAGCTCATAATCCTGCAAGAAAGCTTCAAATTGTCTATCCAGTCTTAATTTGCATGCTTTAAACTTTATGTTAGCATTGGTCTGACATCATAAAACGAGCCTGGTTCAAATTTATCACGAATTTTCTGTATGTGCAGTATTTTACTCGAAGAGGGCAAAAACGCTTACCTATCACCGCTCATTGCCAAAGAAGACTGAGGAAGATTTTGAAAATCACGTGGGTTGTATAACGGAATGGCTGCTACCAGTTTACGCGGTCAAATGTGTAAAGATACGCAACACTTCTTCAAAACTGCGATGGCCCATACCTCCAGGGGGCCCATACCTCCCCGGTCTCCCCTATATGCTATTTGCGCGCAACATCTGCCGCAAACGCCGCACTTCTAAAATAAAGTCGCTAGAAACAGCGGAGATCCCAAAAAAGTAAACAAAAGTAAAAGTCTTATCTTGAAAACCGGTGAATATTTTTCGGTGAAATTTGGTAGATATTCGTTTTCGCTCTTTCTGAACCGAGTGACATCACTTTCATGCCAATTCATAAACTTTTTGAAGGTGGGAGGGTCCCTTTAACCCGCGCCGGGCCGGGGGGGGGTGTTTGAACACCCCCCCCCCCTGCGGTTTTTCGCAGATATCTCAAAAACGGCGGCGCGGAGCGCCGCCGTTTTTGGCACACCTGTTTGTGCATCTTTTCCGCACATGTTGTGAAAATTTCAGACCCAGGTCACCTTAGGTCAGGTCACCAGGTCACGCCAAGTGACCTCACCTCAGAAAAAATAAGAATGCTCGTCATAGCTATACCGATTGATCGATTGCCTTGAAACTTTCAGCGATTGATTAGAGCAACATTATCTATAAAATGTATATCTCGGAATTTTGATATCGGTGACCTAAGGTCAGGTCAATTTTGCGACCTCTCCATTTTAAGTCAATGGGAGAAAATTGAAAAGCGTCTGTTTTGCACGAACGTTATTCTAGACACTCTCAAACATCGAGATGTAGGTAAAATGGACTCACTGAACCGGAAAATGGCAACTGTGACCCCTCGTTATGTCCCCGAGGTCATCTCAGGTCACGAACAGAATCTAACAGTTTTTCGCTAATAACTTCTGATAGAGACGTGCTAGAGCGCTGAAAACGCCTTAGATGTGTTCGGCTCGACGTTGCGGATCGACTGATATGCAACATGACCTTTTCCGGTCAGGTCATGACCTTGACCTGAGGTCAAATTTTCAAGTTGACCTTTTAAGGTCAAATTATAGTTCATTCGACGCGTCTCGACGAGAGGAACACGATGGTGGCAAAAGTAATGTCATGACTCTTTTGAGTCAAAAGTTATTGCCGAAAAAACGTTTTTCGTAAAAACGACTATTTTTGGAGTTTTTGCCCCCTGGAGGCTAAACCGTTGACCTGAGGTCAAATCTGAGAACATTACTCAGAAAGGTCTGTAAAAGGGCTATCGAATGCGCTTTTCCGCGGCGCTGTAGCTCTATCGGTTCCCGAGATAGCCGTTGGCAGTTTCCAAAATGTTGAAATAGTGGACATTTGACCTTTGGCGACCTCTGGTGACCTGACCTTTGACCTGACCCAAAAAATGATCGAAGTGTTTTCGTCCTTATTTTGGACGTTCTTTCGATTGCCGCTTACCGCGTGTCGCTACGTGGCCCAGGAGCCGAGTTAGAAGGGGGGGGGGTGTTCAGACACCCCCCGGCCCGGCGCGGAATCTCAGAGCACCGGCCCGGCGCGGGTTAACAATACGAATCGAATGACTTGCAACATGACCTTTTCCGTGACCTTGACCTGAGGTCAAATTTTTAAGTTGACCTTTTCGGGTCAGCTTATATAGGTTATTCGACGCGTCTCCCCGATGTCATTTTTCTTTGACCTATGACATCACAGGACGGCAAGCAAGGTTAAATTGTAGCAGTTTATAATGACAAACATTTTATTAAAGTGACTTATCATTTAAAAGAGACGACAAAACGTTGTCAACGTTTTCGTTTTCGGAAATCAACGTTACGTTGATACCTATTTAGTCAGGAAGAGAGGGGCAAGTTTCGTAGATATTACTCTAGGCTACTTTCAGTACCTAACAAGTGCTGAAAAAAAAATCGGACGTCACAAGAACAGTCGCTTTTTATTTTTTAGTCTTTCAAATAACTATATCACTGGCAGTTTTACAGACACATATTTTGTTAATTTTTAGGATGTGTATGGTTACGAAACGGGAGATGTTTAAAACCGTGACACTTTTTTGAGACACCCTGTAAAGGCAATAGCCAATAAGGAATAGGTAAGGATCTCTCCGACATATGCTCCGTTTTTAACTTCCCTAAATTAAAAAAAAAAAAACTGGAGGAGTTTTGAGTGTAGAAATATCAAAATATTGATATTTCTTTTTCGGAAATTTTGTGGTAGCAGTTTCCTTTGCCATGCATTTTGTACCTAATGTGCGATTTTTGAGTCTTTTGATTGAAAATCTATTTTGTGATTTATTCCCGTGAACGACTTTTTTATTTTTTAGACGGAAAATGTCCGAACATGACCTCAGTTTGACCCCCATAACTCATGACCCGAGGTGACCTAGGACGCATTTTTCAGGAGTTGAGTGAAATTGATGTCCGGAGGAGTACTAGAATCGGCGAGTTAAAAATCGCGGCCGTTTTTGAGTTATCAGCGTAAAACAACAGGGGTGCCTCCCACTCCCCAGCGGGTCGCGGGCGTCGCGGGTTAAGCTCGCACCCTTTACTGAAGTGACCGTCCCTTGACCTCTAAATGGCCATTCCCTGCCATTATACTCTACACGAAAGGCCAACGTTTATAAACTAACACATACTTGGCGATTAGGTAAGTTCACCATCGACTCTATAGTTTATACCTATTATCGGTTACGTCCAACATCAACCCTGATCAACCCAATAGCCAATGCACATCAAAACAACTAACAAGATACCTATAAGAACCATCAAAATACAGACGGCTCAGGCTGAGTTTAGGCGTCCGGATCCGTCCGCCGGAGGAGGCCGTCAGCCGTCGCTATGGCAACGGCCTGGCGCTTGGACAGCGGGACAGCTGACCACGGGAGCGGGACGAGAGAGGCGAGAGAGGGAGAGCGCAGGGGTAGAGCGGGGCGCCGGGGCGCCCGGGCTCTCGTCGGATTTGGGTAATCGGTTATGCTTTTGACGATAATAAATATGTTAAACATGTGATTTTAATTTTCAATATCGGCTTCATATTATAGAAGGCAAAACCCTAGTCTACTAAAATACAACAGAGTCCCATGCAGACACTAATTGTGATTTGTGATATGTGAAATAATAAATCGGCAGAAATAGGATAATACCTTCTTATCCTGTTAGCAGTTGAGCCGCATTCATCAAGGAATGAAGTCCTGCCTCACGGTCTTGAGCTCTGACTGTGGGACTTGGAGATTCACCTTCATTCGGCTCCATAGGCGCGGGAACTACTTTCAGACTGGGGGGCACACCATAATGGAGATGAACCTAGGGTACCCCCAAATCTAGTTTTCTCACCGGTTTTCGGCCACTTATTTTTCATCCCTTGGCTTTTTCAACAAAAAAAGAAAAACACTTGCAAAAAAAGTGCAGTATTTCGTCTCAAAGTTGTGGGGGCACCGCCCCCACGGCCCTAGAGTTGGGGGGGCAAGCTGCCCCCACTGCCCCCCCGGCTCCCGCGCCTATGTTCGGCTCATCTTGAGCCGTATTCTGAAATAAATAAATTGTGTCAGTTCGCAGCCAAACAGATGTCTACCTACTTCTTATCCACAGACAAATAGAAAAGCAGAGGGAGATACCATGGAAAAGAGAGAGAGAGAGAGAGAGAGAGAGAGAGAGAGAGAGAGAGAGAGAGAGAGAGAGAGAGAGAGAGAGAGAGAGAGAGAGAGAGAGAGAGAGAGAGAGAGAGAGAGAGAGAGAGAGAGAGGGCAAGAGAGAAACCAGGCAGACTAATTATAACTAGCTGGTAGATACATGGCAAAAGTTGAAAAGGTGCAGTCAAAATTATTCATGTAAGTAGCATGTTTACAAACGCACACATAGCCATCAGTGGTGGAGTGGCAGAATGAGAATCAGGGCCGAGGGCTCCTCCTTTCCATCCATAACAGTAGGCGGAACTATGGTCAAGCGTACCCATTTTCGGGAACGCATTTTCGTTCCCATGTTTGGGAACGATAAACCCAAATATGGGAACGCCATGTAGGCATTATTTTAAACAAGAAAAAGAACTGTTAAATGACGTCCAAAAAATATAAAACGATCGTGAACCGCCTGATAGTTGTCTCAATATTGTTGGGAAAGAGTTTGATATTGTAAGGCCCATCGTAGTTTCAAATCGTTACCCTATTTCTAAAGCAGTCCATCACCCGGGCCGCGAGCCCAAATTTGGGAACGCTCTCGTACACTGGCGCTGCAAGCGTTCCTTATTATGGGAACGGCGTACCCAAAATTGGGAACGATTTCACCGACGCCTTTCAGGGGCTCTTTTCATTAACAAGCATCACGTCCAACGCCGCAAATTATTGTTAACGCAACAATCATCAGATGACCTTTCCGGCAAGACCGTTGCATGTTTCGCCCGGTCTTCTGCGCTTTTATTCCCGTCGATCTCGCAGCGGGCACGCCCCCCTCTGCAGGATTACGTAATCCACAACGCTCAGCGATGTTCAACAAGGTCTTCCATACCTATATCCACCGTCCGCGCCGAGGGTGGAGACATGTCAAGCACCTGTCTGCTAATCACCGAGAGTTGACGAGCACAAGAAGTATCCAAAAATGGGAACGCTGAATATGTTACACCCTCAAAACACCTAGTCCCAATGAAAATCTAGTTTTTTTCCTTTCTTAATGAGTTTAAGTGGCAAAAGGCCTGGTAGGATGGGCACGAGGTATGATCGAAATCATCATGAAAATTATAAATAAGCCACACAGAGCGACCTATATCAGAGAAAATCCCCCCAAACGATCATGCTTAGAAACGCCGAAGACAAAAACCACGCTCATGACGCTGCTTATAAAACAACGCTAAACAGCTAGCATCCAAATAAAATATGTCTTTCAGGGCTGATAAAATACAGCTGAATGATTTTAAACCACTGAAACTGAGTTTACAACAGTAGTTCGGTAAAATCACTGACGTTCCACGCGGTCGATCGCCCCGACACCAAAAGTCAACAATATTACCTCGGGACTGTCCGCGTGTTCGCTTGCATATGTCAGCATCTGGTGTCGCTAGAATGAAACTTCATAACCAGGCGAAAATTATTGAACTTGACCTCAAAATGTAAAAAATGCTTCATTTTCCTTAAAATTGCATGTTAAATGTCGTATAACCCATATTTCCACCATTCTGTCATTTTTAAAAAAATCATTAAAAATATCATTCCACGGTCAATTTCCTTGTTCCACGGTCAGATTAAAGATAACTTTATGGAGATTTAGTAGATACTTAAATCAGCGTGCACTTTTTTGAGACGTGATGCACTTTTGAGTTTTAGTGGGCGAACGGCCGAAAAATTGCCTTCCGTTCTCATAAATGGGAACGCCCGTTCCCATATTTGGGAACTCCGTTCCCAAAAATGGGGACGTTCCTATATTTGGGTACTCATGACCATAGTTCCGCCTACTGATAACGCCACACTAGTCACTACACGGATAATATTTATGTAACCACGCCTAAAAGGCATTTAATATCACTGATGTTATTGCTAAGAAAAATTTGGAGCAAGCATCACTTGTACTTACCAACAAGACGTCACACGCAGCACAGACACGACCTCCCTGGATCGCACAAAGATGGCGACTGAGGCCCACGCGGCGCTGCATTTGGCGCGAAACTGAACCGAGTATAGTACCCACAGTGTTAATTGGTGTTAATGTCCCTCAAGATCGCGGCCCAAATAATCCCATTCGGGTTTTTAAACTCGACGCAGAGGGGTAAAACACGGCAACGTGTCATTCAACACGGTAGAACCGTGCGCAAAAATGCTTCCACAAAATCGTATTCGTGTTTCGGAACACAGTGTCCGCCAGGCCCATGTCGTCCCCTATCTCCCTGTGTGTCCAGGTGCACAGATGACGTCACACGAAGGGGCGGAGTCGGGGGCGGAGCCTGGCGCAACGGCCGCCATATTTGAATTTGTTTTATTATAATGTATTCTACAAATTGGGTTTCAGTCAATTGTTATCGATAGTTTTATGAACGGTTAGCTGTAATATAAGTGATTTACCAAGAAAAAACGCATATTTTGCTTGCAATTTCTATTTAAGTACGACCCGCGCCTAGATTCGAACGCACGATCTTTGGATTACGGCGCAAGCATCCTAACCACTACACTACCGCGGCGGCGCGGCGGCCGGCGGAAGGGAGGCTGCCGAGGCATGGGGGCTTTTTTACGCATTTTCGGAAAAACTAATGGGTTTAGTGAAAAACGATTCTTAGATAATTCGAAGAAAAATGTCTCGGCTTTCCGATGATGCACTTAGCTTTGTGCTAGCTTTAGCAGAGTTTGTTCTACAGCGCTTCAAAAATCGCCCATTTGCATAGGACTTAAACGGGACTTCAAGACTTGCCCCCAGATGACGTCACGAGCTGACGTCACGATCAGGTAGAATCGCCGGACGACCCTACCTGGTATATAGGGCCTTGGTGTCCGCCAATTGCGGGTATGAATACATGGCGATTACTCGAACAGTGTCATTGTACACGGGGATTCCGAGCTAGTTCATCCTGATTTGGACTAACCGTGTTTTGCTTTGCAATAAGGTTTAAATTACTCGATAAATACGGATTCATTAGCAAGTTAGTTGTTTGAACACATCGTTAAAGTGAGTCAGAAAACTCAAACTGTGCTAACATTTTTTACAGTGTATGCATGACACCTGAAACCAAAATAATTTTGAATGGCAGAATCTAGGGGCAAGAAAGGTGCTCATGGATTTTGCAGATCGAGGTATCAGACAACAGTCTGGTCACCTCAAGCTTGCCCCCACTGGCGAAAATTCGTGGCGCCGCCACTGAAATTGAAACACCCCGAAATATGCTGCTGTGAGGCTGATATTCGTTGCTGCTGAATTCAAGATTACTTTACTACTCGCTGAATTGCCAGAAGTAAATTTGTTTTACTTTGAAGGGATTTGGCAGTAAATACACGTAGTCAAAACTTGGCCAAAACCTGCGCTTTGATGACAAAACTTGTAGCATTTTCTCGATCTTTTTTCGAATTGTTTTACAAATAAATGTAAAATAAACAGAAAAAATTTATTATCTAGAAGCCGCCAAAACCTACAATTATCTAGAAGCTTGCTTATGAGCTTTGCGCTGAATTGTAGATAACAACGTTGATGACAGGAAAGGGCGTGTCCCACTTGAGGAAACTCACTGCGGTTCTCATCAATTCTCATTCTGAGGGCTGTTCGGGTCCCTGCAGCATAGATCTGTGCTGCGTGCGTCATACTTGGGTGACGTCAACCGCCTGGCTCCGCCCACTCTCCGCCGGCACGCCGCGGCCGAGCGTCGCCGCAGCCTATTTCAAACGCGGCGAACCGTTGCGCGGGTGGACTGGTGATTGTCGCTCAAATAACGATTAATTTGCGTTCAAATGTGGTTATTAGCAATGTGCCACCGAAAAGAGTGATAATGATACCCAAAAAACACGTTCACAAAGTTGGCTTCAAATTCGGATTCGGATTCCAGCACCACATTCGTGGAAAAAATGACAAAAACGGACCCCTCAGAATCGATTCAAATTAACAGGATAGATAGAGCAGGACATGCTTATTACGAAAATAAATCACCTAGGCTTGGCACCCCCTAAGAACTGAGGAATCTTAGGTCAAAGTTCAAGGTCATTCTCGGCGGACCCTTTGGATTCTCGTAAAAATTGGTACAACTATAGTCCATGAAGAGCTGATTTCAAAAATATCAGTTTCTTACTTTGGCAAGCAGCACGAACTGATATATAGTAGGTCAAAGGTCAGAATCAAGGTCACGTATGTGTAATACAGGAAGTGGAAGTGACCACGTGGTCAGGTGAGAAAGGAGGACCCCTTAGATTTCAATAATTTTTTGCTCAATGATGCAACCAATGTTGTAGATGCTACTGCTGGTTTTTCTTGTTTTGGCAAGGTCAAACTACGGAGAAATGACGGGTCAAAGGTCAAGGTCATTTTTAGCGGACCCTTTCGATTCACATATAAATTTTTATCCCAATACAATTTTTAATTCTGGTTATTATTCTCCGTAATGTTAGGCTTGGCAGGTCTTAAATTATTTTAAAATATTTAAATAATTTAACCTTTAATTCACCTATCCCAACATGGCTACCGTGCGAGCACCTATCAAAACCTTGATGAAAATAACAAACCGAAAATCCATTTGACCTTGGACGTGCCCCGTGCTGGTGCACTGGCCTTAGGGGTGCTGAAGGACTTGATTTGGTAGGTATAATGTGTTTTGGTGTGGGTTATTGTAATTTTAATGCATTGCACATTGCCTGATTTGCGACACAACTTACAAAATTGAAATAGCAGTCGTAAGTAGTGTCAGTTTCGCAAGTTGACCTTGCCTTGTGGTATACCGAATAGGTCACAGGTCATTCCGGTCATTGCCTCGAAATTTACGTGGTACGTGTAAAATTGTTTGAACTTGAGATCCTGAAAATTTTGTTGCAATCCATTGATGCTAATGCAAGTTATAGAGCTTGAACTGACAGGTTGTCTATGAGGCCTCCATCCATGCCAGCGAGGCAGCAAGAGTGTTGAAAATGGTCCATAATATGCTATTTCACATTTATTGGGGTATTCAGGAATTGGAAGTAGCCTAACACCATTCCAACAACTACTGGCGAATCCAGAAAGGCGGTCTTGGACGCTGCAAGGGTCATCCCCCCAAAATTCTCCCGATTCCAAAAAGTGTCCTAGATGACCCCCATGACCTCCAACGAGCTCTGCGATGACCCCAAGTTGACCTTTTTGACCTGACGTGTCCCAGATGACCTCTGTGACCTCCAGTTTAGCTTTGATAACTAAGCTGACCTCTGTGACCTGGCATGTCCCAGATGACCTCCATTTGAGCTCTGTGATGACCCCAACTTGACCTCTGGGACCTCACGTGTCCCATATGACCTCTGTAACCTCTAAGTGATCTCTCTGATGACCCCAAGCTGAACTCTGTGACCTGACATGTCCCAGAAGACCCCCAGTTGAGCTCTGTGATGACCATAAGTTGACCTCTGTGACCTGATGTGCCTCCAAGTTGCCCTTTGTGACCGACGTGTCTCAGCTGCATCAGTGGTCTCCAATTGAGCTCTGTGATGACCCCAAGTTGACATCTGTGACCTGACGTGTCTCATATGACCTCCAATTGAGGTCTCTGATAACCCCAAGCTGACCTCTGTGACCTGACATGTCCCATATGACCTCTGTGACCTCTAAGTGACCTCCCTCATGACCCCAAGTTGACCTGTGTGACATGACGTGTCCCATATGACCTCTGCGACCTCTAAGTGATCTCTCTGATTACCCCAAGCTGACCTCTGTGACCTGACGTGTCCAAGATGACCCCCATGACCTTCAATCAAGCTCTGTGATGACCCAGGTTGACCTCTGTGAGTTGACATGTCCCAGATGACCTCCGTAACCTCCAATTGGGCTCTTTGATGACCCCAAGCTGACCTCTGTGACCTGACGTATTCCAGATGACCCTCAATTGAGCTCCGTGATGACCCCAAGTTGACCTCTTTGACTTGATGTGTCCCATATGACCTCTGTGACATCAAGTGACCTCTCTGATGGCTCCAAGCTGATCTCTGTGACCTGACATGTTCCAGATGACCTCCAATTGAGCTCTCTGGTAACCCCAAGCTGACCTCTGTGACCTGACATGTCCCATATGACCTCTGTGATCTTTAAGTGACCTCCCTCATGACCCCAAGTTGACCTGTGTGACCTGACGTGTCCCAGATGACCTCCGTGACCTCCAATTGAGCTCTGATGACTCCAAGCTGATCTCTGTGACCTGATATGTCCCAGCTGACCTCCAATTGAGTTCACTGATGACCCCCAAGTTGATCTCTGTGACCTGACGTGTCCCATATGACCTCTGCGACCTCTAAGTGACCTCTCTGATGACCTTAAGCTGACCTCTGTGACCTGACGTGTCCCAGATGACCTCCGTGACCTCCAATTGAGCTCTGATGACTCCAAGCTGACCTCTGTGACCTGATATGTCCCAGATGACCTCCAATTGAGCTCTTTGATGATCCTAAGCTGACCTCTCTGACCTTAGGTGTCCCAGATGACCTCCAATTGAGCTCTGATAACCCCAAGTTGACCTCTGTGACCTGACATGTCCCATATGACCTCCACGACCTCTAAGTGACCTCTCTGATGACCCCAAGCTGACATGTGACCTGACGTGTCCAAGATGAGCCCCATGACCTTCAATCGAGCTCTGTGATGACCCCAAGTTGACCTTTTTGACCTGACGTGTCCCAGATGACCTCCGTGACCTCCAGTTTAGCTCTAATAACTCCAAGCTGACATCTGTGACCTGACGTGTCCCATATGACCTCTGTGACGTCTAAGTGACTTTTCTGATGACCCCAAGCTGACCTCTGTGACCTGACGTGTCCCATATGACCTCTGTGACCTCAAGTGACCTCTCTGATGACTCCAAGCTGATCTGTGACCTGACATGTCCCAGATGACCTCCAATTGAGCTCTCTGATAACCCCAAGTTGACCTCTGTGACCTGACATGTCCCATATGACCTCTGTGACCTTTAAGTGACCTCTCTCATGACCCCAAGCTGACCTGTATGACCTGACGTGTCCCAGATGATCTCCGTGACCTCTAATTGAGCTCTGATGACTCCAAGCTGACCTCTGTGACCTGATATGTCCCAGATGACCTCTAATTGAGCTCACTGATAACCCCAGGTTGACCTCTGTGACCTGACGTGTCCCATATGACCTCTGCGACCTCTAAGTGACCTCTCTGTTGACCTTAAGCTGACCTCTGTGACCTGACGTGTCCCAGATGACCTCCGTGACCTCCAATTGAGCTCTAATGACTCCAAGCTGACCTCTCACTCTGTGACCTGATATGTCCCAGATGACCTCCAATTGAGCTCACTGATGACCCCAAGTTAATCTTTGTGACCTGACATGTCCCATATGACCTCCACGACCTCTAAGTGACCTCTATGATGACCCCAAGCTGACATGTGGCCTGACGTGTCCAAGATGACCCCCCATGACCTTCAATCGAGCTCTGTAATGACCCCAAGTTGACCTGTTTGACCTGACGTGTCCCAGATGACCTCCGTGACCTCCAATTGAGCTCTGTGATGACCCCAAGTTGACCTCTGTGACCTGACGTGTCCCGTATGACCTCTGCGACCTCTAAGTGACCTCTCTGATGACCTTAAGCCGACCTCTGTGACCTGACGTCTCCCAGATGACCTCCGTGACCTCCAATTCAGCTCTGATGTCCTCAAGCTGACCTCTGTGACCTGATATGTCCCAGATGACCTCCAATTGAGCTCACTGATGACACCAAGTTGACCTCTGTGACCTGACGTGTCCCATATGACCTCTGCGACCTCTAAGTGACCTCTCTGATGACCCCAAGCTGACCTCTGTGACCTGACGTGTCCAAGATGACCCCCATGACCTTCAATCGAGCTCTGTGATGACCCAAGTTGACCTCTGTGACTTGATATGTCCCAGATGACCTCCGTAACCTCCAATTGGGCTATTTGATGACATCAAGCTGACCTCTGTGACCAGACGTGTCCCAGAAGACCCCCAATTGAGCTCTGCGATGACCATTAAGTTGACCTTTGTGACCTGACGTGTTCCATATGACCTCTGTGACCTTTAAATGACCTCTCTGATGACCCCAAGCTGACCTCCGTGACCTAACGTGTCCCAGATGACCCCCATGACCTTCAATCGAGCTATGTGATGACCCAAGTTGACCTCTGCGACTTGACGTGTCCCAGATGACTTCTGTAACCTCCAATTGAGCTCTTTGATGATCCCAAGCTGACCTCTGTGACCTGACGTGTCCCAGAAGACCCCCAATTGAGCTCTGATGACCATAAATTGACCTCTGTGACCTGACGTGCCCCCCAACTTGCCCTTTGTGACCGACATGTCTCAGATTGCCTCCGTGGTCTCCAATTCAGCTCTATGATGACCCCAACTTGACATCTGTGACCTGACGTGTCCCATATGACCTCTGTAACCTCTACGTGACCTTTCTGATCACTCCCAAGCTAACCTCTTTGAGCTGACGTGTCCCAGATGACCCCTATGATCTCCAACAGAGCTCTGTGATGACCCCAAGTTGACCTCTGTTACCTGACGTGTCCCTGATGACCTCCGTGACCTTTATTTGAGCTCTGATGACTCCAAGCTGACCTCTGTGGCCTGACATGTCCCAGATGAACTCCAATTGAGCTCTCTGCTACCCTCAAGTTGACCTCTGTGACCTGACGTGTCCCAGATGACCCTCAATTGAGCTCTGTGATGACCCTAAGTTGACCTCTGTGACCTGACGTGCCCCAAAGTTGCCCTTTGTGACCGACGTGTCTCAGATTGCCTCCGTGGTCTCCAATTGAGTTCTGTGATGACCCCAAGTTGACCTCTGTGACTTGGCGTGTCCCATATGACCTCTGTGACCTCTAAGTGACCTCTCTGATGACTCCAAGTTGACCTCTGTGACCTGACGTGTCCCAGATGACCCCCATGTCTCTCTCTCTCTCTCTCTCTCTCTCTCTCTCTCTCTCTCTCTCTCTCCTCTCTCTCTCTCTCTCTCTCTCTCTCTCTCTCTCTCTCTCTCTCTCTCTCTCTCTCTCTCTCTCTCTCTCATTCTCTTCACGTGCCGGTGTCGCGGATCCTATAGGCAAATTTTGTACATACCAGTGTTGATCCTCAGTCTCTGACCGGACATGTATTTTTACTTCCCGCAGGATGCCGGCGCCGGCGACGACAGTGCGCCGGCGCACATCTCTATGGAGGTGGACACGGCGACCCGTGGGCGACCGCCGCTGCCGCGGTTTGCTACAGGTGGCGATGGCCACTAATCTGTCACGAACTTCTGACAGTGAACGCCAGTCGGTTCTCGGATGTGAGGACGCGCCCGTCGAATCAAGTGACGGAGATGCACCGTGTGACAGTGTGCGTTTTCCGGGCGAGTTCGTTGCGCTGTGTGCCGGTCGTGCGCGGGACTGGTACCACCCGTCGTTCCACCAGTTCTCAGTGCTCCAGCGCGCCGTGCGCGATGTCAGTGCCGCCGCCGAGGAGACTGTGCGCCGCGAGCTGCCGCCCGAGGACCGGCCGGCGCAGACCCGGCTGTAGCCGCTGGCTGACGGCGCGCTGTCGCTGCGTCCGCCGACCCTGCGCCGGCCGCGCCGGGAGGACCCAGCTGCAGCAGCTGGTGGTGGCCCTGGACGGCGCCTGCCCCCTGGTGGCGGGTGGCAGCTGCGGGAGCCACGTGACGCCGTCTGCGCTCTCGGCAGCGCGCCACCTGGAGCCGCATGCAGACCGCGTTGCCAGAGCTGCGTCGTCTGACGTCGGGTCTGCTGCGACTGGTGACGCGCCAGAGGACGCGCTGGTCACCGCCGCGAGCCCGGATCGAGACGGACACGGAGCCAGTTCCGAACGGAGCCTCCCTCACCAGGTGGGTCCTGCGGCGCCAATACTCGTCCGCAGGTGGGGCGAGATGGATAGGTATCTGAGCACTTAGGAGGGCAGTTGTCGGGTGATGACCCACGAGGTCACGCAAAGTAAGGGGAAGTAACATGAGTATGCAAGTGAAACCGCTTGATTGCGATGACCTCATGTGACCTCACCTAACTTTCGTGTGACCTCCCCGACCGTAGGACAATGCGTGATCTTGTTTTTTTTTTTTTTTTGCTCGGTTTTATTGAATGTTTTCACATGTGTAGACATCATACACTACAGTCCGGGATCTGTGCAAAAGCTTTTCAGCTTATTTGCTTATTTCATGGCACCTCTCCCTCACACACTCACGACGTCACACGTCATTCACGACGAGAAAAAAAACTTGTTTGAGTTTGTGGGGCGTCGTCAGACTTATTATAGCTCATCTGACCTCTACTGATTCTTTGTGATCTCATATGACCTCTAGAGACTTCGCATGACCACGTGAGCTTTCCTCAACCTCCTTTTATCTCGCTGAACTTTGAGTGGCTTCTCCCACCCTCGCCTGACTTCCTGTGACCTCGTAGGACCCGTCGTCTTCGTGTGACTACTTGTGACATTCGTTTGTTTTCCTGTGACCTATACCGACTTTTGTGACCTCGCCTAGCTGTAACCTCGCTCCTGTCAGCTTCTGTCAGCTCCCGTAAGCTCCTTGCAGCTCCCGTAATCTTCTTTCAGCTCCCGTAAGTTCCTTTCAGCTCCTGGCAGCTCACGATAGCTCATGACAGCTGCCGTAGGCTCCTGGCAGCTCCTGTCAGCTCCCGTAAGTTGTATATCTGATCCCACCCTGACCATGTTCCTGCCCTCACTTTCTTTGACCGTCCATTGTTCGTCGGTCGCCAGGAGAGCTTGACGCTGCTGCGAGCACCACAGGGCTACTAGCGGTACGTCACGTGCTGCTGGTTTTCTAGAGACGGATGTTTGCTGATATTAGGCTGTTAAGACTGAGCCGTGATGCAGTGGCCGGTGGGAGTGCCGGCGCCGGTCGTGGTGGACCCGACGCCCAGCGCTCCGCTTCGCGCTGCTACCACACAGGTAGGGTTCGGCACACCGACTCCCGATGGCTACGTGGACAGTGAAAATATTGCAATGCTATGGTACAGGTAGAGTGACCGTTCCGTTCTTTGTCAGGTCTCTGAATGGAGCTGCGTTCCGGTGGGCGGCTGGCTGCGCTCTCTCGGTCTGGCCCAGTACGCCGACGCGTTCGTCGCCCGCTCTGTGGATGGCGCCCGGCTTCTGGGGCTCACCGAACAGGCTATGGAAGACGAGCCCGACGTCGGTGAGAGATTCACATTGCTAGCTGAGAAGGTGGATGTGACTCAAATTATTCAGTTCATAGCCTGATTTATTTAGCTTAATCTATTTATATTAATCGTATTGCCACCATTAACCTGACTCCTGACTCGTGATTGTGGTTGCCTCAGTTGTAGGCCTTAAGTGCACCGCATTTTGACAGGTCTCGACGTGGCGACCTCGGAGCCAGCGTGTTGGGTCTCGGCTTCCCGCCACTCACCGGCGGACCTTTTCGCTTCGTGGACCGCATCGGTCCCGCACAGCTAGTCAAGGACATGGAGCGCTTCGCCGTCGTCAATGGCGTCGGCTTCGAGCCGTGCCTGACCGTGCACTACCAGGCCGCTAGCGGCACCAAGTTCTGTTCGGCCGGGCCTCGTGTAATGCCCACATGTGATGACCGAGTGTATACGCATGTGAAGCCGCTCCGCGTGTGTACCAGCGCTGGGCGTGTTCAGTTTCAAAGTAAATATAGAACCCTGGTGATCAAGCTACAGCTTTTGACGAGAAATAGAGTGAGGTCATTTTGAAAGCGATCAGACGGTAGCGCCGCCGTTCTTTGGCACGCCTTAGCATGCATCTGTGCTACACTAATAAAAGTTTAGGCTCGTGTCTTTCAAGGTCAGCAGGGTGAGGGCACCAGGTACTTCAAGTGGCCTCGTCTCAGGTAGAGTTCTAATACTCGTTCTAATACTACCAACACATCTAGTCAAGGAGCTGAGTTGAAATCGAGGGGATGGGGGGCTGTTCAGCCCCTTCACTGGGAGGTTCACGGTTCAGCCCCTCCCCCACCAGGCGCGAAAATCTAGGATCCCCAGCGTGGAGTGAGATATAACCTTTTCGACGGCACGTGATCGGGCATTGCATCGTATGACACTGGGCGATTGAAAGATGTTTCAGCTCGCTTGTCAAGGCAAACATTTATTCACAACGAAAACAGACATAGGCACATGTGGATTGCTAATGGATAATGGATAATGGCAACGGGTAACACCCAGGTCGTGCACCGTTTGCTGGAGAGCCAGCGGCTGGTGCGTCCCGCGCGGGGTCGCCACGGACGCCGTTCGTCACCCAGACAGCCGGCGGACCGGCGGACCGGCCGGGACGCCTAACGACAGACACAACCACCCCTCATGGCTATGTAGCGGGGCCGGGCTACCAGTGAGAGGTCACGGAAAGGTCAGCTCATAATGTGCACGGCGTGACATACAGTGTTAATGTCATCCCGCGGTCGCCGGACAGTGAAAAATTGGACAATGACATTTCGCCGTCAAGACGAGCTCTACTGTCTACAAGACACAAGTAGTCTACATACGCTCAGCGACGAGCGCAGGCCGCCGGAGGATCTCGACACGGTGCTGGCGCTGTGCGCGCGCCGCTTCCGCTCGTATATATTGTATTATCAGCTTTAGTATGTAGTATGCATTATCAGCATTTTTTTATATAGTATGTATTATTATTATATAGTATGTATTATCAGCTTTTTTCCAAAGCTTCAGAGTTGTGTCGCCCTCGCCACCACCTCCACAGGCTCCGCCCGCGCCGCTGCCGCCCCATCTACTCGAGGAGCAGCGAGCGTAGGTACGCCGCGCGACTGCTGGAGGTGATCGAGAGCGAGAAGTGCGGCATTAGCGCCTACGCGGCATTATATACCACCAGCAGACAGGATTTGATCTCTAGCAGACAAGCTTCTATCGGTGCCCCGCGCCGTCTCTCAACAATCGTTCACAGCCGCGGCTCCTGTGCACTGAGACGCTGTCACGACCGCGTTGTATCGCGACTGGAAGCCAGCCCACTGCCCGGTCTCTGCCGCGTCTCCGGCGGTTGGGACCTGTGCCGGGGGCGCCTCCTCCAACAGATTAGTGGCCATCGCCACCTGTAGCAAACCGCGGCAGCGGCGGTCGCCCACGGGTCGCCGTGTCCACCTCCATAGAGATGTGCGCCGGCGCACTGTCGTCGCCGCCGCCGGCATCCTAAGGGAAGGGAAAATACATGTCCGGTCAGAGACTGGGGATCAACACTGGTATGTACAAAATTTGCCTATAGGATCCGCGACACCGGCACGTGAAGAGAAAGAGAGAGAAAGAGAGAGAGACATGGGGGTCATCTGGGACACGTCAGGTCACAGAGGTCAACTTGGAGTCATCAGAGAGGTCACATAGAGGTCACAGAGGTCATATGGGACACGCCAAGTCACAGAGGTCAACTTGGGGTCATCACAGAACTCAATTGGAGACCACGGAGGCAATCTGAGACAAGTCGGTCACAAAGGGCAACTTGGGGGCACGTCAGGTCACAGAGGTCAACTTAGGGTCATCACAGAGCTCAATTGAGGGTCATCTGGGACACGGCAGGTCACAGAGGTCAACTTGGGGTCATCAGTGAGCTCAATTAGAGGTCATCTGGGACATATCAGGTCACAGAGGTCTGCTTGGAGTCATCAGAGCTCAATTGGAGGTCACGGAGGTCATCTGGGACACGTCAGGTCACACAGGTCAGCTTGGGGTCATCAGAGAGGTCACTTAGAGGTCGTGGAGGTCATATGGGACATTTCAGGTCACAGAGGTCAACTTGGGGTTATCAGAGAGCTCAATTGGAGGTCATCTGGGACACCTAAGGTCACAGAGGTCAGATTGGAGTCATCAGAGAGCTCAATTGGAGGTCACTGAGGTCATCTGGGACACATTAGGTAACAGAGGTCAACTTGGGGTTATCACAGAGCTCTGTTGGAGATCATGGGGGTCATCTGGGACATGTCAAGTCACAGAGGTCAACTTCGTTCATCACAGAGCTCGATTGAAGGTCATGGGGGTCATTTTGGACACGTCAGGTCACAGAGGTCAGCTTGGGGTCATCAGAGAGTTCACTTAGAGGTCGCATAGGTCATATGGGACACGTCAGGTCATAGAGGTCAACTTGGGGACATCAGTGAGCTCAATTGGAGGTCATCTGGGACATATCAGGTCACAGAGGTCAGCTTGGAGTCATCAGAGCTCAATTGGAGGTCACGGATGACATCTGGGACACGTCAGGTCACACAGGTCAGCTTGGGGTCATGAGAGAGGTCACTTAGGTCATCTGGGACACGTCAGGTCACACAGGTCAACTTGGGGTCATGAGGGAGGTCACTTAGATGTCACAGAGGTCATATGGGTCATGTCAGGTCACAGAGGTCAGCTTGGGGTCATCAGAGAGGTCACTTAGAGGTCGCAGAGGTCATATGGGACACGTCAGGTCACAGAGGTCAACTTGGGGTCATCAGTGAGCTCAATTGGAGGTCTTCTGGGACATATCAGGTCACAGAGGTCAGCTTGGAGTCGTCAGAGCTCAATTGGAGGTCACAGAGGTCATCTGGGACACGTCAGGTCACACAGGTCAGCTTAGGGTCATGAGGGAGGTCACTTAGAGGTCACAGAGGTCATATGGGAAATATCAGGTCACAGAGGTCAACTTGGGGTTATCAGAGAGCTCAATTGGAGGTCATCTGGGACATGTGAGGTCACATAGATCAGCTTGGAGTCATCAGAGAGGTCACTTGAGGTCACAGAGGTCATATGGGACACGTCAAGTCACAGAGGTCAACTTGGGGTCATCACAGAGCTCAATTGAGGGTCATCTGGGACACGTCAGGTCACAGAGGTCAGCTTAGGATCATCAAAGAGCTCAATTGGAGGTTACGGAGGTCATCTCGGACAAGTCAAGTCACAGAGGTCAACTTGGGTCATCATAGAGCTCGATTGAAGGTCATGGGGGTTATCTCGGACACGTCAGGTCACAGAGGTCAGCTTGGGGTAGTCAGAGAGGTCACTTAGAGGTCGCAGAGGTCATATGGGACACGTCAGGTCACAGAGGTCATCAGTGAGCTCAATTGAAGGTCATCTGGGACATATCAGGTCACAGAGGCCAGCTGGGAGTCATCAAAGCTCATTTGGAGGTCACGGAGGTCATCTGGGACACGTCAGGTCACACAGGTCAGCTTGGAGTCATCAGAGAGGTCGCTTGAGGTCACAGAGGTCATATGGGACACGTTAAGTCACAGAGGTCAACTTGGGGTCATCACAGAGCTCAATTGAGGGTCATCTGGGACACGTCAGGCCACAGAGGTCAGCTTAGGATCATTAAAGAGCTCAATTGGAGGTTACGGAGGTCATCTCGGACAAATCAAGTCACAGAGGTCAACTTGGGTCATCATAGAGCTCGATTGAAGGTCATGGGGGTCATTTTGGACACGTCAGGTCACAGAGGTCAGCTTGGGGTCATCAGAGAGGTCACTTAGAGGTCGCAGAGGTCATATGGGACACGTCAGGACACAGAGGTCAACTTGGGGTCATCAGTGAGCTCAATTGGAGGTCATCTGGGACATATCAGGTCAAAGAGGTCAGCTTGGAGTCATCAGAGCTCAATTGGAGGTCACAGAGGTCATCTGGGACACGTCAGGTCACACAGGTCAGCTTGGGGTCATGAGAGAGGTCACTTAGAGATCACAGAGGTCATATGGGACATGTCAGGTCACAGAGGTCAACTTGGGGTTATCAGAGAGCTCAATTGGAGGTCATCTGGGACATGTCATGTCACAGAGATCAGCTTGGAATATCCAGAGAGGTCACTTGAGGTCACAGAGGTCATATGGGACACGTCAACTCACAGAGGTCAACCTGGGCCTTGGGGTCATCACAGAGCTCAATTGAGGGTCATCTGGGACACGTCCGGTCACAGAGGTCAGCTTAGGATCATCACAGAGCTCAATTGGAGGTTAAGGAGGTTATCTCGGACACATCAAGTCACAGAGGTCAACTTGGGTCATCACAGAGCTCGATTGAAGGTCATGGGGGTCATCTGGGACACGTCAGGTCACAGAGGTCAGCTTCGGGTCATCAGAGAAGTCACTTAGAGGTCACAGAGGTCATATGGGACACGTCACGTCACAGAGGTCAGCTTGGAGTTATCAGAGTTAAACTGGAGGTCACGGAGGTCATCTGGGACACGTCAGGTCAAAAAGGTCAGCTTGGGGTCATCATAGAGCTCGATTGAAGGTCATGGGGGTCATCTTGGACACGTCAGGTCACAGAGGTCAACTTGGAGTCATCAGAGAGGTCACTTAGAGGTCACAGAGGTCATATGGGACATGTCAGGTCACAGAGGTCAACTTGGGGTTATCAGAGAGCTCAATTGGTGGTCATCTGGGACACCTAAGGTCACAGAGGTCAGATTGGAGTCATCAGAGAGCTCAAGGGGAGGTTAAGGAGGTCATCTCAGACACATCAGGTAACAGAGGTCAACTTGGGGTCATCACAGAGCTCTGTTGGAGATCAAGGGGGTCATCTGGGACACATCAGCTCACATAGGTCAACTTATGGTCATCATAGAGGTCACATAGAGGTTACAGAGGTCATATGAGACACATCAGGTCACAGATGTCAACTTGGGGTCATCACAGAGCTCAATTGGAGACCACTGACTACTGAGGCAGCTGAGACACGTCGGTCACAA